TGGGAGTCCCGGTAGGGATAGGGGTCTGGGGGTTCCGGCAGGACTGCGGGGCTCCGGTGTCCCCCGAAGGACTGGAGGGGCCCGGCAGGGGTGGGGGTCCTTGGAGTCCCAGTAGGGCTGGGAGGTCCTGGGGGTCCCGGCAGGGCTGGGGGTTTTGGGGTCCCGGTAGGGATGGGGGTTTTGGGGTCCCAGTAGGGCTGGGGGTCCTTGTGGTCCCCGAAGGGCTGTGAGGTCCCATCAGGAATGGGAGTCCTGGCAGAGATGGGGGTCCCATCAGGGATGGGGGTCCTGGTAGGGATGGAGGTTTGGGGGTCCTGGCAGGGATGCGGGTCCTGGAGATTCCAGCAGGGATGGGGGTCTCCCAGGTCCCGGAAGGGTTGGGAGTCCCCGGAGTCCCAGAAGGGCTGGGGGGTCCCGGAAGGGACCGAAGCACCTGAAAGGGTGGGAGCCCCCAGACCATGCCATGGCCGGCATCAACTGGTGATTGCACCACCTCCAGCTCGGGGCCCTTCCGCTTGCACAACACCCGCTGCCGTGCTGCCACCACCACGGGCCTGCCACCACCACCATCATCTGCCATGGTCCTGTCATCACCACGGTCCTGCCACCGCCATGGTCCTACCACCGCCACCATCATCTGCCATGGTCCTGTCATCACCACGGTCCTGCCACCGCCATGGTCCTACCACCGCCACCATCATCTGCCATGGTCCTGTCATCACCACGGTCCTGCCACCGCCATGGTCCTACCACCGCCACCATCATCTGCCATGGTCCTGTCATCACCACGGTCCTGCCACCGCCATGGTCCTACCACCGCCACCATCATCTGCCATGGTCCTGTCATCACCACGGTCCTGCCACCGCCATGGTCCTACCACCGCCACCATCATCTGCCATGGTCCTGTCATCACCACGGTCCTGCCACCGCCATGGTCCTACCACCGCCACCATCATCTGCCATGGTCCTGTCATCACCACGGTCCTGCCACCGCCATGGTCCTACCACCGCCACCATCATCTGCCATGGTCCTGTCATCACCACGGTCCTGCCACCGCCATGGTCCTACCACCGCCACCATCATCTGCCATGGTCCTGTCATCACCACGGTCCTGCCACCACCATGGTCCTGACACTGCCACTGTTACTTGCCATGGTCATGCCACCACCACCCACCATGGTCCTGCCACCACCACCATCACCCGCCATGGTCCTGCCACCACCATGGTCCTGCCACTGCCACCACCACCTGCTGTGGTCATGCCACCACCACCCGCCATGGTCCTGCCACCGCCACCATCATCCACCATGGTCCTGTCATCGCCATGGTCCTTCCACCACCACCACCTGCCATGGTCCCACCACTGCCACGGCCACCGGTGAAATCCCACATCTCCAGCCACTGGCCAAGCTGGACTGGAACCTCCAGGTCATCCCCTCCTGCAGGTCCCCAGCCCGCCTGGAGGAACCCATGCAGGGAGCACCCTTGGGTGAGCCCCAGAGTGTCCCCTCCCGCGTCAGCCCCCAAATCCCAACCGTCCCCGTGGTTCCCTCTCCAGAGAGAGCCCGAACAAGGTGTCACTGTCCCCGCTCAGTCGGGGCCCTGTCCCCCCCCCGCGCCGGCGGGGAGGCCCCGGCTGATAATACCCCGAGTGTCTCAGACCTCGGTCCAGATGAAGAGCCCTTGTTTTTCGGCTTCTTGTGCTGCCAGAGGACATTGTCCCCCCCCTGAGCCCCCTCAGGGATGCTGGCTCTGGGCAGCCCTCCCAAAAAAGCCACGGCGGTGAAGACATTTCGGTCCCCACGACGCCCCCATCACGGCGTCCCCCGTGGGGTTTGGCCCCAGGTCCCTCCTTGGGGAGGGACATCACAGATTTGGGTCGTCCTGCACGAGCCACCCCTTTCAGTAGGTGACACCCCGAAGCGGATGGGTCACATCCAGCTCCCTACAGAGTCACCCGGCCAAGCTGCACCCCCTGGCCTTGGGGATCCCCAAAAAAACAGCAGCTCGACCCCCCGGAGGGATGAGCATCCCCGGTGGAGGATGGTGTTTTCCTGGAAAATGCCTGGTTGGAGTTTTCCCCCGTCCGGGCGCTGGGAGCAGGTCTATTTAGGAGCAGGGGACATGGGATCCTCTTGGCTTCTGGTGGCATCAGGGAGAGAAGGAGGAGGAGGAGGAGGAGGAGGAGGCAGAAATAGCCCGGCTGAAAGCCGAGCGCCGGCGAAATGACTTGGCACTGGCAGAAATGAGCCATGAGCAGGGACTGGGGAAGAAAAAGGAGAAAAAAAATAAATCCCTAAAGCCCCAAAGGAATGTTAATCCCAGGAGAGGGCTGCTCTCAGCCTCCCAGGTGTGTGGATCCGGCCTGTCCCCCCCACAAAAAATGGGTGTTTTGGGGCTTAGGGGTGGTCTGGGCAGGGAGATTTGCAGGTTGGAGGGGGAGCATTAGGGGTTTTTTTTGGTGTCCCGTCCCGGGTGTCACTGTCCCTCTGCCACCGTGTCAGCATGTGGCCCGGTGCCCTGGTGGGGAGTGGGGGGCAGCGGGACGTGCCCCCCAGCCCTCGGGTGGCAGGAGCCCTTCTCCCAGCCCCAGCAGCGACACCAGCTTTGGGTGTCTCCCTCCTATTTCTGGCTCCAGACACAAAGCTGAGATATTTTTTGCTGAGCAGCATCAGGACCAAACAGGCAAATCCAGCAAAACCATTAAAAAAAAAAAAAAAAGCCCTTATCTGGGTTTTTTCCACACCAAAACCTCCCTGCGCTTGGCCCACAAAGTGCCCTCCGACAGCCCAAGGTTTGGGGGTACAGCAGCACCCCATTTCCTCATGGGCAGGTAAAAGGAAACCTGTGCCAGCCGCTTGGAGGTGGAAAATGGTCCGTTTTTCCCCCAAAATCTGCGCTGGAGGCTGTGGGGGAATCGCTGGGGGAAATCTCCCTTAATATATCCCCGTGGTGGGGGTCCAATGCGCAGGATCCCCCCCTCCCCTGCGCCTCCACGTCGTCCATCCTCCTCCTCCTCCTCCTCCTCGGCGCGGGTGGGAGCCGCTGACTCATCTGCCCGTCGTTTTTTTCTCCCCCCTCCACCCCCCCAGCGAGGAAGGGGAATTCATCGAGCGGATTCGAGGGGCTGCATTGCAGACCCAGACACGCCAGCAGACAAAAGGGACGCTGCGACGACACCCGCGGCTTCCCCCGGCACAAAGAGCCCGGCATCGAGCCCACCCTTCCCCGACAGGTAACGGGACGGAGGGGGATGGAAAAGCAAGAGGATGCTTTTTTATTTTTTGGAGGGGGGGGAAAGAGATTTGGGTGAAGAGGGGCGTTGCCACCCCAGGATTTTTATTTTTTTTTTGAGGGGGGAATTAAACACCGGCTGGCAGGGATTAAGAAGATAAAGGTGTTTTTTCCCCCTGTGGGATGAGAGGATGACACTGATCCCAGGGGAAATACTCTTCCTTGGGGGTGACAGGAGGATTTCCCCCCCCCCCATTGATTGCCTTCTCTGGATATTTGAATTTCTTTTTTTTATTTCTTGTCATTAAACTCCCTTTTCCCCCCGCTTTGAAGCTTTAAAACCCATTGTCCGCAACATCCATCACCGTTAAATAATTTGCTGCCTCTGTGCAGAAAGACACCCAGGGATGTATCCCCGGGGAGGGGGCTATTTCAAAGCACTGGGGGGGCTCAATTTCCCCGGGGGGGGGGTGACAGGGGAGCCTTTCATAGCCTCTGACTTCCATCGGGGATCTTAAATTTAGCAGCTGGTCACCCCTCATCGCACGGAGCGATGGGAGGGCGTGACTCAAGGTATGTCTGAATCATCCTTTAGGATTTAGATTCCCAAGGATTAAAATGGGAAAAGGAGGATATTTTGGGTCAGGCAGTTGTTGGGATTTTTATTTTTTTTTCACCTCACCTCGGTTGCCAAACGCTCGGAGGTGACTGACATCATTCTGCCAGGGAAAAGCAAGTCAGCGCGGCCGTGACTCAGCTCAGCCTGGAGGGGAAAAAAAAAAAAGAAGAAAAAGCTGAACCACATCCCCTTGTGCTGCTCTTTCCCAATTCCGCGGGGATCGGGGTGGGGATGCGGGAAGGGCTCGGGTGGGATGGCAGGGAGGGATGGCACGGCACCGGCACGACGGCACCGGCACCGTGGGTGGGATGCGATGGCAACGCCGAGAGATGCTTCTTCCAGCTCCTTCTAGAGGGTTCGGTCCCGGTCCCCCGGGGCCACGCGATGCCACGAGCACCAGGGAGGGAGGGGACGGGGTGGGCTCTGTGGGCAGTGGGGGGATGCACAAGGACCCCCCCTCACTCCCCGCCCCACGGGGGGCTCAGCACAGGGAAAGGGCGAGACCCTTTTGCAGGTTTTGGTGGAAAAAGGGTTTATTTGGATGCCGGTTTCTGTCGCTGCCGGCAGAGTGGGGTGTGGGGCACAGCCCGGCTCTGCACCCCACGGGTGGGGGGAGATGGGGTTGGGTGGGGGCTTCCCATCCTTCCCACACTCCCCTTGGTGCCAATGGGGAAACCGAGGCACGAGGTGACCATTCCCATCACACGTCCCTCCAAATCAGGGCCAGGAGAAGGGCTGTGACCAAGGCCATGGATAAGACCAGCGTCAGGGCTCAGAGCTGTGATGCCACGCTCCCGCCCCATCCATTTGTGTGGGGTTTTTTTGGGGGTGTATCCCATGGGATTTGGTCAATATGGCAACTCCTGTGGCTTTGGTAGAGCTTTTCTCCCTCCTCTGCTCTCCCCTCGCCCCCCCTTTCCCCTCCGCAGCCCGACGATGCTGGACACCATCAGCAGCCAGTACGACTCCTTCATCTACTGGAGGATGCCCATCCCGCGGCTGGACGTGGCGGAGCTGGAGGGGCTGGGGCTAGCTGACGTGGCCCTCTACAAGCCCAAAGGAGGGTTGGGCAAGCTCACCGGCCAGCGGGACCGGGCCAGCCAGGACATCTCCGAGGACGAGGACAGTC